ATATATATATATATATATATGGCCATAGGTGCAGTTTACTGTTGTGTTTTCATTTTGGGAAGGTAGTGTACACAGCCGATAATGAGTATGATGAGTGTTGTGCTTTGCTTTTGCAGTATAATATATAGCTCTAAATGTTTAAATTACTATATATACTATAATTCATTATAGGCTAGCATGCTTGTTTTAAAGACTGTCATTCTAGTTTATTAAAAGCTGAATGTAAGAAAACCTGGCTATTCAAATGTGAATTGAAAAATATTCCATTCTCAGTACTGAACTATTTTCATTGAACATTCAGGCTTTTTTAACAAAATATAAATCATCCAGAAGGCAATAGCTAGAAAATGAGAGGTGCCTTTAAAAAGCAAAAAGTTCAAATGCAGCCTTACAGTGAGGATGGAGATTGAGTTTGTGTCAGGGGTAGGGGAGAGTGAAAGGGGGCGAGAAGGAGAGGGGAGAGAGAGAGAGCGTGTGTGTCTGCCAATCTGTGAAGGTCCCGATTTGTGACCATTAATGTCTTTTTAATATATCCGCTCAACCTCTAGGACTTCAGGGGACATTTCATGCGCTGTCTTTGTGCTCTTCTGAGCACCATATATACTTTCCAAGAATTTTGAATGTGAATTCCTAGAATTTCAGTAGAGAATAAGTAGCTGTTGTTTAATTATAGCCAAGTTCAGGTGAAAGGAGAAATTTTTAATTCACTAAAATTAGGGGATCTCATTAACATTGTAATTTTTTAAAGGTCTCTTTTTTAGTAATTCATATATCTTCCTGTTAAACAAGAGCATGTATAGTTCTTATGTGATGAACATTCAACTAGTAATTATTTTTAAACACCTGAACTAGTTAAAATTTCACCTAAAAATAGTCTTAAATATTTAAATGGCATCTCTCATATCTACCTCGTCATTGCTGCCGTTTTAACTAAAGTAAAACTTTATGACATCTGAAATGGTGGTTGGATGCAATTTAAAAATCTATGTTGGTGCTTTTCTCAGGCTTTGTCATTTAAGTTTTATTGTCACAGTCAGATTGAAAGACTGAGAATCAGTTTTGTTTTCATTGGGAAGAATGACTTAAAATTAACCATCAGTGTTGTTAGTGAGTAGAAATAATCTCTGATCGGTGTATATCTGTGTGATGTTTTTAACCAAGAGACATTGTTACTGAATTTACATGAAAAAAAATTCTAAGTGTAATTTTATTCAGCCTTTTTTCAAAGCTATTTCCAGACTTAAGTACATAATCATTCATTTTATTTACTCAGAAGTTGCCTCTATTAATATGTTACTTGTTTAATTATTTATATAATTGCAGTACTTTAAGTGTTCAACACTGGGATTCTGGTTGTACAAAAGCAGTAGCTGACTAAAGTATGTATATTTTTGTGAAATGTACCAATTCCTAAACTCCATTTTAGGGCAAAGTCCAGAAAACTAACATACCTGTATTCAAAGGTGAGAACATTGATTTGAATCGTTTTTACCTTTGCCATTAAAAACTTTTTAATTGGCTACATACATTATCCAACTGGATGTCAATACCACTGTAAGGGATTCCAGGTTGACAAAGTATTTTACAAATTCTTTATTTATCTTTGTAGTCATAAAAAAAGTCTCACAAATGTTAGACCAAAAGGGATCCATGGATTCCGCAAACTTATTCTAGCAGTATTCTTGAAGTGGTATCTAGGGAACATAATTTTCTGGATCTCTGCTAATCAGGCTTCAGGTTTTGTTTAACTGGGACCACACAGCTGTCATCCCTTTGAAGCAAATTAGGAAGTTTGTTTTAATTTACATTAACTCTAATGTCTGCCTGTGCTTTTCAGCAGGCTGTGAACCAGAGTGCCTTGTTAATGTAGAATGACTTTCCCCTGTTGTATGTTAGCTCTCTCTGAAAATGTCTCAAGAGAGTGGTATTTTAATTGAGGTGTAGAGAGCTGCTAAATTTAGCGTTATCAGCATTGGAAGTCTTCGATCTACCACATACCACCCCCTCCCTGCTTTCTCCTGATTTTTTGGCTGAAGTTGGCCTCTTCTGAGAAACCATACTTCTTTTTCCCAGTCCAGATTAATAAATAACATTTAATCCCCTCCCATCTGTGTTATCTAATACCTGCTTTTAGGAGGAACCACTTCTTCGTGATACTAAAATCTACTGGTTATTTTATGTCTTCTCAACTTTTGTTTATTAGATCTGATCTCAGGGTATCATCAGTTTAGATTCCTAAGTAACCCTTTCTCTCCACACCCAAGCCCCCAGCTGGTGAGCCCTGGGCCAGAGTGTTGATCTTCAGGTTTTTTACATTTTAGTTATAATATTGATTAATGTAAATTAATCCAAATGCTTTTTGTGGTGCAAGAAGTTTCCTTTGTAAATTCAGGGTATGGATAAGCTAATTAAGATATACATTTTTGGTGGTTCTAAGTGTATCATTTGTTTTTAAATAAAGTGTACAAATATAGATAATGTGGTATAGGTGTCTCATGAATTGCAGTATTTGTCACATTTGGAATCTAGCTATGACTTTGCAGTGAATCCGTTTGGGGGTTTTGTTGGAGGGATATTAGGGAAGAGGGGTGTAGAGAAGTTAAATGGTAGTAGACAAAATTGATACCAATCCAAAGTAATGAAACAATTTTTTTTTGGTTCCGGGGATTGAACTCAGGTCCTTGCACTTGCAAGGCAGGCCACTGAACCGCTGAGCTAAATCCCCGGTCCTAATGAAGCACTCTTAATTGTTGATTATGTAGAAGGTGTAGAAGTTTATCATTAAATAGTATTTGGGCCTTTGGAAAGCCAGTAGAATTAAAATACCCTGTAAGATTGATCAGTGACAACTTTCAGGGACAAATAGGATTTTAATCTTTCCAATGTTCCATTAAATGATTCTTTAAAAATCTAATGAGCACACATAAATTTATATATAATGCTTTTGATAAGTTGTACAACACATATAATTTTAATATCCTTTTTTTTTTTTGACTACTTGGCAATCAGCCCTCTACACCCTCTACCCCTTTGATCCTTTAAGGGCTTTGGCTGCTCAGAACTCGTAGTGCACTTGTTGCAAATTGGAGTCACAATACAATGTAGACTCTTAATAGATAACCTCCTGTTCTGTCATCTTGATGGTCTGTATGCTGGTAGTACTGTTGGAAATGCCCTTTTGTTCTTTTTAATATGAACTGAGACATGATTTGTTGGAGTATCTTTGGAGTGATCTGGCTTAGAAGATCAAGAGGACAGCAGTGTTATTCATGAATTGATGAACCCTCTGGGGTTGGCCTAAGCCAGGTAGTACTCAGAGCTGACTTGAGTTTCCCAAGATCCCTGAGGTTTTAAAAGTTTCCAGCATTGTCTTGGCGTGTAAAGTATTCCCATAGTCATCTTGAAGTCTATCAGACCATTTAATAACATGACCCTGGTCATGAAGCATCTCTCCACTGTTAATTTCTCAGTTGCAATGACCAGGATACTCCAGTTCTATAAAGAAGCACAGCATGCAGCTCCTTAATTATGAAATTGGAATCTTTTCATTTCTGGAACAGACTTTTCCAGTGCTAGGATCAAACTCAGAGCCCTGTGCATATAAGGCAAGTGCTATGTCACTCAGCTACAATTTTAATCCTTAGAACATAAAATTTAACTTTGTATACTTGCAAAAACAATCTAAAATCTACCAAACAATGACTTAAGTATCACTTAGACTCTACCTATCCTAGAGCCTTATTCCTAATTGGTATTAGACTAAAGGTAAGGCAGCTTCAGTCAAATTTGAGGAAAGATCTGATATTTGAGTAGAATCTGTAAAATCCAGATAAAAGCAAAGGCCTTAGAAAGTTGTCTTTGGTGCCAGGCACGATGGCTCACACCTGTAATCCCAGCCCTCAAGGGCTGAGGCAGGAGGACTGCTGTAAGTTTGAGACCAGCCTGGGCTACATAGTTCCAGGTCAGTCTCAACTACATAATGAGACCCTGTCTCAAAACACCAAAAGAAAAAAAAGAAGAAAGTTGTCTTTGGTGATTTAGCAATTCACCATACACGGAGACTGGTCTAAATGCTAACTCCACATTGACATTTCCTGTGTAGTTATTTAGAGACCTAAACTAACCCAGTGATGTAAGAACCCACAGAAGAAAGACATCTGTTGACTAGCACTGGAGTATGAGAGTTAGCATTGTTAATTCATGTGCCATGGTTTTTTATGCCCTCAAAAGATCCAGGGTATGTACAAGGCTCTGAATTATATAACCTCAAACCAAAGATGTAAAGATCTAGGCAGACAGGTAAGTAGATAAATAGATATGTACATAGGTAATAGAATCACAAGATTAAGGGTATTGGTAGGGAAGCCTGTCATTCACAAATACGAATTTGCAAGCTAAAAACAGTTAAGAAAAAATTTCTCAGCAAGATTTTACATTAATTGTGAGTTGAAGCAACAAACAGCTGGTAGTTCATATATACTGTGCTGAAATAGTAAATATCCTGACTTTGAACTACTCCTTCCTATGGAAGTGGGAAAAAGTAAATTTTCATACATAAGCCAGTTTGTTTGTTTGTTTGTTTTTCATTACTAGGATTGAACCCATAGCCTTCACACTCAGCTACATCCCCATCTCCTTTTTATATTGAGGTGGGGTCTTGATAAGTTAGTTGTCCGGTTGCCCAGGTAGAGCTCAACATTTGATTGTCTTGCCTTAGCCTCACAGAGTGCTAGGGTTCCAGGTGCGCACCACCACACTCTTGCTTAGCAGAATCTTAACAGCAAAAATAAATTCATCAGAAAGTTTACTTTGGGTGCTGGATAAATTGGGTGAGGTTGCAGGGC